TAACTGGTTGCATTCTTATTTCTCAAACAGAATTCAGGATACTGTATAAAAGAGCGAATCCTTCCCTGCCTTGCCTATTAAAGCTGAAGTACCTTAGGGTGCCATTCTGTCTCCTTTTCATTTTCCTCTTTTCTTACATGACTAACATCTTACATATAAAATCAATTTTGTCGAGTACGTCGGCAAATTGATTGTCTCGTCACCAGTAACGCCGCAGACTGACTGTTCCAAACTTAATAGCCTTTTCCGGTCATAAGCCAGTGGTCTACGCTAAATGGTCTTGATTTAAATCTCTTTAAATGTCAGACTAACCGCACCTTCAGGTTTAAACTCAATCAACACGAACTGGCTCGTTCACACGATGCAAGTAGCATAGAAGACACTGAAATAGAAACTAAGTCAAGCATTAATTCAATGTTCTGAACTGTCTTCGTCACCCCACATCTTGTTATCGACTTCTAAGAAAATGTTCCGTCTAACCTACTACTACATTAAAAATTTAAGACAATCAGAAATCCCTCAAACACTACTTTTACAGTTTGTTAACTCTTGCATCTAACCTGTTTTTCGTCACTGCTCTTCCTCAGTCTTTCCTAGTCTGCTCAAAAAGGACAATGTCACATTGCGCAGGGTGTTAAAAGTCGTCAGTAAGCGAAATTGTGTGCCACTTAGTCAACTTGTTATTATAGTAGTTGATAGGGTGGATCTAAACTATAGCGGCCCTAAACGTAACTACCTAATGAACAGATTAATGACCCTGAGCAACCAGTCAGGTGAGCCCATAGTATATTGGCGGAATTATGGTTGCTGTACAAGAATTATACACCAAATTTCATCCCAATTTATTATTTAAGTACTGGTCAGACAAGAGGTTCATTGAAAGAGAGAAATCGTGTAGCCTATAGTCATCCTTGGACTATATTTATAACACAGTCAATAATACGGACGATTTTGTTAATCTTCTCAATGTGACCCACACAAATTATATCGAAAGTTTCCAGAGTCACCCAAAAAAATAGGATCCGGTTGGTGAGTCAGTCAAGAAACATGATCATATACTGTTATTTGGACGAATTTACGCATCGAAATTGGTTTGACACAACTATGAGGACTCCTATAAGAAACAGGAAGCTTTCCTTGGAACACACAAGGGAAGTTATTATAAACAACTAATTTTTAACGTTGCATTACTTTGATACAAAGGTCTTCTTTTCAAATTACGCACTTCTGCTTCGGACGCGTTTGATTGGTCGATAGAGATTTGTCAATATCTTTATTAGGTAGTTTCATTTTGGGCTGTTGTAGTTTAGAGTCACTGTTGATAGATACTTGAGAAATGGTCTAAATCCATACTGTTTGACTCAGTACCCTCTATATTCTCAACTCCTCTCTGACATCTCATCAGGTAGGACTAGAAGTCACTGTAAAAGATGATGTGCCCATACAGCCAAGCACAGGAACTCACTGATACCATCTCTGACCTGCATTCTATGTGATAGAGACAATGTTAAGTGTGAAACCAACGACTTATTATGTTATTAGCAGAATAATTGGCTCTATATTCTCTCATATATGTAATTATCGGTGACACTACTTCAATCAACTTATAGCTTAGCTGTTGACATTACTATCATTATTTATCATTTTCGACTTCACCGCAAATACCAAAAAAATTGCCATTATCAATCTTGTAATATTATTGATTTGATTTTTGCTTTTCCTGTTGTCCACTGAATTAGGTCCAGCATTATACCGAATGCTGATAGATGCACACTCTACCATAAGTACTGTTTTGGAATAATGCAAATCATTATTAGCATTACTAACAAGTGGGGCTTAGTCAACCAAATAGCTGTAACTTCAGCGTATTTCAGTAAGTATCCCTGACTGTTTTTATAAATAATCTTGAAGAACGTTTTGAAATGATATTTGATTCGCATCAATGAAATATTCTGCAATAGAGATAAAGTTGGTAGTCTGCTGCCTGCGTTTGTCGATTTTTCATGGTTCATTAGTTTTTTCTAACCATTTGGGAATATGTTCTTCTATCCTACGACAGGAAACACGATTACTTCTCCACATGAATGTGTAACCACACACACATATATAAATTAGTATATAGTATGGGATGTGGGAAAACCACTTATGTACTGTTTAGGCTTTTAGTGGAACATGTTTTAAGCTTTTTCAATAATTGTAAGCCAGGCTGCATAGCGAGTTCTACGGATGACTGAGTCTAGTTTCTGTCTTAATATCTGACTTTTTATTTCCTCATTTTACGGGGGGGGGAATTTGATGAAGATATCTCCCTTAGGTACGAATAGACTTTGAGTTTCGACGAATATCTGCCCTAACAGCTGATTCTCAGTTTGATAATTTGTATAATCAGTTGAGTCTTCTAGTTCCCACCTTGAGAGATGACCAAAGTTGGTTGGAAGCTAAATTTGTAGATATAGCACATCAATTCTGTAATTCGCGTCGGAAGTAAAAAAGCATTTTGACATCATCTTATGTTAAAGCACTAAAGGAATTACTTAACAGATCCGATGTAGTTATTCTGAAACCTGAGAGAGGATCTGGTGTAGTTGTTAATGGACAGAAGTGATTACAAAACAAAAATGTTATGCATTCTTAATGACTAAATCAAGTTCATATCCAAAGTTCCTTCTGATGATATCAGAAAATTAGAGGGACAAGGAACTTCGCACTTAGAAAAACTTTGTGACATGCATGTTATCCATAAACAGGAGTTTAATTCCTTGAAACCCATGGGATCTGACTTTCCAAACCTTTATGGATTACCCAAGATTCATAAGGTTGATAATTCATTGCGTCTTATGCTATCAGTGTGTTGCTCTCCCACACTCATATTAGCGAAATGGTTAGTTGATGTTTTAAGGCCAGTACGCAATGAATTATGTGAGTTTACTTTGAAAGATACATTTGAACTTGTTGACTGTCTTGCAGATATGAACATGAAAGATAGGAAAATGTATGCATTTGATGTTAAATCTTTGTTTACTAATGTACCATTGATTAAGACTGTTGATATTCCTTGTGACTATATATCTTCTAGTTGTTTTTCAATCCCGGATTTCCTTTAACTTATTTGAAAGATTTATTACTAATATGTACTGACAACGTCAATTTCACATTTGAAGGTGAATATTTTCGACAAGTGGATGGTGTTGCTTTGGGGAGTCCATTAGGACCTTTGTTAGCGGACGTTTACATATCCTATGTTGAAAACTTGTTCCTTGATTTAATTTCTAAATTGTCCTTCTATAGGAGATATGTAGATGATATCATTTTGATATGTGAGGATCATGAAGATGCGAGTCCTATAACAGATAGACTTAATCCTGTAAAGAATCATACGAGGAAGAAAGTTGCAACCAGCCGGCGTAATTCTGAGTCCAAGAGGTGATGGTTCGATAGGACAGAACAATACCGTAATTTTCACAGCTTTTGTCCATTACAGTATAAGAGAGGTTTGATTAAATGCTTATTTAAGAGGATTCAGCGTATTTGCACGGCTGATTTTATGAAGAAAGAAAATGAAATAGTGATGGATACTCTTGTTAAAAACGGATATCTTTTAAAATCTTAGACAGGTGTAGAAGTCAATCAGCCTTTAAACCTACAATCTATACCACCCCTGAGGAAAACTTTTTCATCATATTACCACATAACAGTGAAATAAACAGTAGGATTTTGAGACAAAGGTTATATTCGGTCATCCGTAGGACCCATTATGCGGCGCGGCCTGTAATTATCGAAAAACCAAAAATATACTCCATCGCAAACCCCAAAAGTGCACAAGTGATTATGTCACACTCCATCCTATTTACCAATTTTTGCATGTGTGTGGACACACATGCTTTGCATGTAACGATGGGAGAGTAAATCCCGAAATGTTTGGAAAAACAAATGAATTGTACAAAACCAACAGACGCAGGTGTCAGAGTACCAAATTCATCTATAGCCAAACATTTAATCGAGATGAACCATAAGATTGATGTCAACATAGCCTTTAAGGTTATCTATTAAGATGGTCAAGGGCGCTAATTGAAATACTCTGAGGCTGCAGCTACTCAAAAACTTAGGCGATCAATACCCTGTGTGCTCAAAAACAGTTTACCTTGGTGATTCTTATTTGATTGGATTACCAAACATTGTGTTAATTATTCTTAAATCCTTTTCGTCACTTTGTTTTATTTAATTACCCTTTATTTTTTTCACACATATATCGACTTGACAAGTGAACGTGTGAGGGATCAGATTGTCCGAAATGTATGGCGCAAATACATCACAATATTTTTCAGATAATCTCCATCTTCTGATAACAACACTGTCCAAATTTATAAAAAGGACTAATTGTTTTAAATATGTGATTTCGAGAAGACTACGCATCAGAATTGCTTTTAAAATTTTCATCCTCAATCAAATCAGCTGTACAAATACACTGAATCCTCCTGAATAAGCACTTAACCAAACCTCTCTTATTCTGTAGTGTATAGAAGATGTGAAAATTTAAATATTGCTCTGTACAAGTAGGCTTTCTATGAATTGACCGCTTTATTGAGTAATCTCCTCTCTGACTCAAAAGTATGTCAAAAAATGTAAGCTGTTTCCGGCTTTCTTCTTCTTCGCATGTAAGACTTATGTGATTTTGTATAGAGTTGACTCTATCTAGTAGACGGCTCACATGTTCACAATTATTACACATCATCAAAGTATCTCCTGTAGGAATGCGCCTTAGCAATTAGACCAACCGACAGATTTTCAATGTAAGACAATATATACATCAACCAATTATGTGACAAAAAGAGGCACCACTGCACAAATACAAAGGTAACACTGAAGGCTTTACTTTATGAGAACAGGTGAGTTAGTTAGTAAGTCAGTTGACAACGTATCCGCGCAACGATACCGGTGTTCACTTCTTCACAGGATACTGTTAAAACAGTAGAAAAATAAACAGGTTATCATTTACTTACCAAGGTTGTTGTATTCAATATAGCCAAGCAAATCCATGAAACAGCACGCAGTAGAATAGCAATCATTAAATGTGTATGAATATTATTGCGTACGCAACGTAGAGATCTATTCAATTGGAGCGGGGAGAAGAGGGCGTCAAAAGAAGACAGACAATATAAGTAATAGAAAAAACAGTGTTGAAATACAAGAATCATAATTAAGGGATCAGTGGAATTTATCGGAATAACGATCTTTGACTAAATAGTTTCAATTTTTTTCAAGACATTTAAAAATACATCACCAGGTAATGAAAAATGTAGTTGCCAAACGCTGAGTTATACTTCAAGGGCTGATATTTCAGATTTACTCACTGAGTTCTAAGTCAGTCGGCTTTAAGTACCCGCAACAGTTAGGAATCCATTTGCAGGGTATTTATGAGAGAGAACGTAAATGTTTGTATAACTAAAACACATATATATCTGGTATCATGGCTGTTATAAATTTTGGTAAGTCTTTAACCGTATGACGACATGAATTGAAAAAAGTTCGGTAGTGAATTTGCTCAAGTAATGAGGGCTACTGTGCAGTTATTCAAATAAAGACAAGCTTGATGGGTTTAAAGTTACAACGTACTGTTTAACAGATAGTAATCTAGCCTTAAAGGCTGACGGATAGAAAACGGTTTTCAATAATATTTATTTATTTTCCGAGTTTAACCACGGATTGATATCAGTTAGTGAACGTCTGAAAACCAGGGAGTACTTGACAGCCAGCTGGTTCACACTAGTTTGAGAATCATCGGCAGTTCGCATGTCGTGTCCTGATTTTTCTCTATTTACGAAACAATCCAACTTTCTTGGAGTACTGGAGAGCTGTTTCGTCAGCCTAGTTAGGGACTCTTCATCAGTACGTTCCCACCAGGGTTCGAAACCAGGATCTTCCGGTTACAAAGCAACCTAGTAAATCATTTGATGGCTCTCTAATCCATGGCCGAACTCGAAAAACAAGCCTATTACCTACAAACCAATTCTTGAAGATCCATTCATTTACTAAGATTTCTTTTCAAATATGCCTTTCAAGTTTGGGACTCTTCTACTGTGTGAACCCTTGACTTGACTATCAAGAGCCGAACCCAGGGCCTTCAGGTTACGAAGCGAATTTGTTGAACATTCAGCCACTTTGGGTGGAATCCAGTGGCCTGTCTATGAATTCTAACTTCTGATAATAATTTGCGATCACATTTGAAACTGATCAAAAGTTCCTACGACCTAACACCTGAAAATTAATCAATTACTGACTATAGGATGAAGCTTCGAGGAGTACTGGTGAGAATTCATGGCCAGTGGAGTCTATGAAGTTGAGTGTGAGCACAAGTACTCGCCGAAGACATTAGCTGGCACTGGCGCTAGACACTCCCAAATTTACAGAAGTTGGAATTCATGGGTAGGCCAGTGTATTCTTGCCTAGGCAGCTGAATGATCAGTGAGTTTAGTTCCATCACCCAATTTCCTGATTTGGATCCTTTGTGCTGGAGGAATAGATGCCAGTGTCTGAAGAATCCCAAAATAGGATGAAATTACTGTTCAATAATCTTTGGATTCCAGTTGTTCTCTAGGCGAAGTCAAAGAATGGTTGAAAATAGAATTCTTTATTCTTTTGAGCAGAACTTTAGCATGAGAATTGTAAATACCAATGGGTGAAGCGTGATAGCTTAACCAATTACAACTGACACTAAAGCAAATTAGTTATTTATTAGAAGTTTGAAGGAAACTTCGGAAAGTTTTAGTACTTAGCATTACAGGAAAAACAAAACTAATTTGACTCTTCTCACATGAATCAAACACGCAGGTCAACTTCTAAATATAACTACCGAAAGCTTGATATCCATAGTCAATAATGTATTTATGAATGGCTAAGGTCTCCGCTGTCTTTAGAAATCTGTTCAGAATCAATTTTTCTCCGAACTAAAGTTCCAGCTGACGAACGTCTTAATGTCTTGTTAGATTGCCTAAACTATCATCAGCAAGTTTTATAGTAAACCCTTCAAATTCCTTGAAATAAAAATAATCGGAAAATTTCTGGTGTTTACAAAGTTTGATTTTCAAATATTGGTTTGTAGAGATTTTATTGATTGGTTACAGGATTTCACCATGAGCTGACATCAGTTAGAGAACCATTGGAAACCTGGGTAAGGAACTACTGGTTACAAGGCTAGCGAGCTCATAGGCCATTAAGCCCCTGGGACCCGATCCAGTGGTCCTGGGTTCGAACCCCGGTGAATGCGTACTGATGAAGAGTCCCATACAAAGAAGAAACGGTTCTCCAGTACTGCCAGGAAGTTTAATTGTTACGTAAACATGACACAAACTCATACAGCTGTTCTGAATATCAGTTTGATAACACTGTAGTTAGCCTAATGCAGTGCTAATATACCTCCAATAAGATACCTCTGAAATCCGACTTTGAAAGCCAGAGCTGTATCCACTATGTTAGTAAACTACCACAGCTACTTTGTGTGGGCTTAAGGTTTTATTTAAGTGAGTCCGTCAAGGATGTCCACTTTCCCCATTTCTGTTTAACTTCATCATAGATATGCTAATGGAATTATCCTTAACTGGACTTAACGACTTAGGAATCGACTTGTTACCAGGGAATAGTCTTATGGACTTAGAATATGCAGACGACATAGTTCTGTTAGGGGAGGACGCTGACAAAATGCAGAGTCTTCTGAACACCTTGAGCAACAATCTTCGTATGAAATCTCAGCACGGATCCAAAAAGCTCGGGTTGCTTTCGCTGACTTACACAGTCTCTGGCGTAGGCGTGACATCCGGCTATCAATCAAGGGACGTGTGTACTGCTCAACAGTTCGCTCCGTCCTTCTCTATGGCGGTGAGACGTGGCCATTGAGAGCGGAAGACATGAAGAGATTGTCTGTTTTTGACCACAGATGTTTACGATCTCTTTCTCACGTTAGGTGGTATAATAAGGTAAGTAATGTTGACGTTAGGCGTAGAGTGTTGGGCAAAGAGGGAAAATCAATTGAAGAGGCTATAAAGTTACATGGATTGAGATGGCTAGGTCACGTGCTGCGCATGCCTAGCCATCGCCTCCCCCGACGGGCATTACTAGCTGATATAGGTGCAGGTTGGAGAAGAGTAAGTGGTGGCCAAACAAATCATGGCATCAATCCATGAAATCCTTGACAGTTAAACTGAGTCAGGTAGGGAGATGCAGACTTCCGGGTTGGGGCTCTCGGGACTCTAAGAATCAATGGCTGGAGACACTAGGTGACATGGCTCAAAATCGTTGTCAATGGCTCAGATGTTGAATACATCTGTAATCTGTAATCTCTGTAATCTTTCATATTCCTTTCTACCATTACTCATTCTGTTTCACTCTTATACCTGTCAAAACTCTATTGATTCTCTTCACTCATTTTCTTGTCTACTTTTGTGTGCTCTTTGGAACGTGGCAACTCGAACTGCTGCACTTCGGTGCCAAGATCTATGGTGAATCTAGCCAGCCAGCCAGAGAGTATATATACATATATATTTAAGTTCGGATATTACCAGTTTTTGGACTGTATATATATATATATATATGTTGGATCCACTAGCAATCATTATTTTTTTACAAGCCCATAGAATTCAGTCATTTTTACCACTTGAATTCACAAAGTTTTTGACAGGTACTTTTTACAATGATGTGTATTTTGCTTTTGGCCATGGGTAACCATGAGAAAAATGAAGCATTTGACATTCCATTTCATTCCAGTCTATTTATTAAGTTATCTGACATTTTAGCCTATAGAATGGATAAAGTATGTTTTCTATCACAAGAATAAGCTAAATATTACGTGGATGTTATTTTTTCTTATCCAACAGCAGTATTCTATACTGACTATTTGGGATAGGGAACAGGCGTCGGGTGTTTCTCTTTTAAAGGTTTTTCACTTATACAAGAAAAAACATCTTAATATTTAATCTATGAAGTTGTTATTTGTTATTTTTAGTAGATCAGATTTAGGCAGTGACAGTTTCGCCTAAAAATATTAACGTTTTAACAAATAAACTTGACATTGATGTTGGCATTGGAATTCAGAGAAAGTGTCTGTGTTATTTCGCATCTATTTACCTGAATTTCTACTGAATTACATCACTTAGAATCATCGAATACAAAGGCCAACTTTACTGGATCATCTCTGTTTTGATGTGTCGCTTCTTACACTGGACGCTCCAATATACCTTAAAGTCAACTATTGTTGTTATCTGGTTTTTGGTGTCTTAAAGTGAAGTCAAGGACCCTTGTTTCATCTCATCTTAGACTCTGCAACTGGATGTGTCCAGTATCCTGGTGAGTGAGCGAGTGGATTTTGTCGAAATAACAGATGCTTGGTTAGGGTGTCAATTGGAATTCACAAGTTCTAAAGTTCTTATACACGATTAGAATTCATAGCCAGTGAGGCTCACCATGTTGGGGGCAATTAGATATTCATCGATAGCGCTAGTTGGTGGCAACACTATATCATAAATTGATCAAGTTAGAGTTCACGCGTCACTGGTTTACGATCCAAACTACTAATTCTTCAGTGACCTGGACTCGTTACCTAATGATTCTGAGTTCAATTTATGATGGGACTGTGAGTATGCACCGCTAAAGAGCCCAAGACTAAGATGAAATAACTGTCCGATGCTACCTGGCTGGTAATAATTCTTAAACTCGTGTTTACCATCTAACTTCTAATCAATCATATTTTTTTTATTCCTTGACATTCCCAATGGAACATAGGGCTTCAAGCTAGAGGCTTGAAGTATCTGTAGCAGCGTTTATTTTTACAGGATAGGGTTGCTAGCCTCACGCCCGACCTTTCCTCTTAACTTGCTTTTTTATTACTGGATTAGTGAGGTCAAGAAGTGCGTTGGCTGCCAGAGATCGAACCCTGAACCACCTGCATGGTTGGTAGACATCCAATCAATACACCACTGAAGCTGTGTATGTTTTTACTGATGTAGTACTGGATTGTTGGATTTGGATAAGTGTGTCAAGTTATAAAAGCAGCGTGTGTTTTTACATAATGAAATTGCTTATCGCATTCGTGTTGATTTTGTCACTTCATGGGGGAG